AGGACATAGTATTAAAATGAGTCCCGTGATTCTTGGCCCTTCCCTAGGGATGTAGTTCCGCCGCAGGTGTGTCAACTACTATGAAAGGCGTAGTGAGAGAACGGCGTAGGACAAGTATCTTCAAATAATCCGAACTGTAAAGTTGGAACCCACTTAAGTTTTTCTCCCAAGTGGACAGATATAGAGTGAGTAACGACAGGCTTTTCGAGTTGTCAAGTCTGCTACAGAGCTGAGTCACGTTCGTGTGAATAATCAAATGGGTGGACACAGTGGATCAAACACTATTACTGGACACAAGGCCTGCCCTTGCTCCACTAATAGGCGGACTTTGAACCATAACAACCTTTCGTTAACTGTTCGATATTCGGTTTGACGACTGACAAAGCTGCCTTCCATGAAGCATCATGTTTAAGTAGTTCAATATTCGGATTTGTAAATGTCTCACGCGGCATTGATAACTTCGAATTACCAATGTAACGTTATGTACAGGACTTTAGCTAAATTGAGCGTATTGCCCTGCTGGCGTCGTATCGTCGGAGTGAACCGTCTTTTCAAAATGCAATGGGCATTCATCTGAGATTATTCGTGCGACTACCGCATTTAATAAAATATAACAGTGTGGTTTACAAGAAATATTGACTGCAAAAATTGGTTTTTTAAAAATTAGAGCTTCTCTCATCCCCATGACCAAGAGAATATAGTGCAACGGGCGAACTAGACTGCTACGTGAGTCAGCTTACTGGTAAACATTTTGAAGGATGCATCCGCAAATTACAACTCTGACCAAAATACGCACCTCTTTATTGATGGCTGTCAGTTAGAAAAAGGAAAAACGGTGACCTGAATGAGAGAGAGAGGGAGAGCGAGGATGAATTCGTCTTCCGGAGCGATGTTCCCCGGAGACCTTTTCGAAATTTCTGAAGCACTATGTGCCCTTTGCAATATCTCAAAACTCACCCGGCGTCCTTCCGTTCAGTCCTCCTCTAGGTATAGAAAGGCTTAGCAGTGCGTATTCATTCAAGCTCACTAGCAGTCTTAATTACCTGACTCACCATTGGAGCAAGGTAAATTCAGTGGCCGATCTCATGAAATATCAACCGCATTCCTGAAACTCTTCTTCGGCTAAGAAGCATTATTTGTGCGAAATTGTAATATGCATCGTGGTGCGGCATTACTCTGTGATATTTCAGACAGGCTAGAATGTGTACTTTTGAAAACACTTTTTTACGGCAGCCTGTAGAAACGACGTTCATATGAATGACTTTGTACGTATTATTGCTTTTTAATGCTTTGATAAATTCAAATATATTGCATATGAAACATGGGCTAGCATATTCTTTCTTGTACGCATTTAGTAGCAAATCGTATTTTTGCTCAATTTCTACTGAAGGAACGGGTGTATTTAGGTTTTAAAATTTTTCCAATTTCTGAATGATTTTGTGGTCGATCTGCCACTGCATTTACGTTTAGGTTTTTCATTATACAAACCGCATGGTTTTCGCATGATGAAAAGTAATAAATTACTCTATACCATGAAGAAGATATAATGATGTGCGATGGACATGAGCTACTTTGTATACTTCGAACGAAATGATAGATACTCGATATTACAAGCCCTGCTAAGTTATCCTTCATAATCGAAAATAATTTCGGAATTTTGGCATACATTTCATGAGATCGTTTACAGACTGTAAGTTAGTGAGTAGTGAGCGTAATTGTCTTTTTCGTGTGTTTAAAAAGACACTGTTCAACTTTTTAATCTAATGAGAAATTAATTTCTGTTCGCGGTATATATCAGTATATTTAAGGTCTACAGGCGTAGACCGAAATCGTAAGTGTATATTTGTGTTGAAACCCGTCAACCCTTGTGCAATACACACCTGCTGCCATCAGACAGTCTTTAGTAGTATACATTGACGTTGTAACTTACCATACTAACAGCCTAGGTACTTGCTAAAAGGCCTTTTAGCAAGTACCTAGGCTGTTAGTATGGTAAGTTGCAACGTCAAAGACACTGTCGTCCGCAACCAGTATTTCGATTACGTTAAAGCCGTTAAACGCCTGCATTCACTAAAGCTTCGCAAGAATGTCTTACAAAATCCAAATTTTCGCTGAAAATATAGATGTACTTTCAAAATAAAGCACCTTTCTCACCATCTCTCATAAACACTTGAGGTGGTCTTTACACCTAATTGGTTGCTCTCACCATAGAATAATTACTGCTGTCCTACATCTGATACCATTGCCTATGCGAAGGTGATATGGAGGCCGGTTGATGTCCTTTCTTCGCGCGGGCTGTTGAGACATGGACTGTACCAACAACTGTGCACTTAGCCTCCGTAGAATCCACCATATGCATCGTACTTGTTTGCCAAGCGGGAATAGCTCTTAGCTGTTCGAGGTCCCTATGGCTTTCGAAGTCGGATAGAATTCAGCCGAATTCAGCAGAAAATGTTTTTTTCTAATGCATAATGAGAGTACCTTAGAGACATGACTCACTGTATAAAGTCGCTACCCTTATGCCCAAAGGAAGGCCGTGAGTTCGACTCACGCGGATACTAACGCAAACCGGTAACAAGACGAAGCGAGAAGTTTTGAAAGCATGGACGACAGACACCAACTCCATCAACAGACGTATTGACTCACGCCCGCGTTATTACGCTCTACGCCCACGCAGCCAGGTGACGAAGCTCGCGTCGCCCCCGAGGATAAACGCCACCATAACGCCGCGAGATCACTGTGAGCGAGGCATCATGGGCCTAACCCACCCCATGTTACGACCACATAGGTCTTTACACGTTGCACTTCAGATAATGAATTCCAGTATGAGTTTGAAAGCATTGAAAATAAAAACCGTCCATTCCAGCGATCAAGTCCTTACCTCCCATACCAAAAGCATTTTAAAAAGAAAATGGACTAAGGATCCACCCGCCTCCTTGTCCGTGTAAGATGTCTGTTATTATATATGAATGAAACGGCCAGATAAAGCCCTACACTAGCTTTGCAAAAAAACAATGTAATATATGCATTAATTTATCGTATTTTTTTATCGAAAGCTAAAAATGATGAAACTTTGGAGGTATATTGGTAAGAAAATCAAGATTTCCCTAAATTAAACTATCTCCCGCGGAACTCAAAGAAAGCTTATAAAGCTGCCATGGCTTCGATCCATCTTTAAGGTAGCACGGTTATCAGATTTCTGGCATTTATAGCACTCCCCTTCCCATGAAAACATGAGCGAAACAGAAAACTACAAGACTCCTAGGGCAATCCTTCAACGCTCAGATGTTCAGTGGCTCACGTTTTCTCATACGTTTTCCTTCGATGGAACATTCCGACAGTCAAAGTGGATTTATCTGGAAAAATTTGTCTGGGAAGTCAGATTGATGGGTGTAGCATGCAATAAATTTCCCCAGCTTTTTACTTCAATCTCCCTACAAACCGTATAACTTTGTAGTGCCTAAGAACTGCAGATAACCCGTGTTTGAAGTACACCCAAGTGCATTCAAGTACATGCAAGTAAAAGTGTGCGTGAACGCTAATGAGGTCAGAAAGCCATCTGAAATCTCCGTTCAAAATAACGGTAGAGTTTGGCGTCTTCGTTTGTAATATGTAAACAACAATCCCCATTCGAGACTCTGTCTACCTGGAAACCCGTCGGCCTGAGTTGCTCTCGGTCATCCGTTGCTGACGCCTCACTGGCAAGTTCGCTTCCTGCCTGTCGCAGCGTAGAACTTGTTCCACCCTCGTGTTTGTGCCCCCCGTTGCCGTCCATCTCATCTCCCTGCAGCCAGTAGGCCAGTAGACCTGGGGCTAAGTCACAGGCAACTTCCAACAGGGGCAGATAGAGTGGAGTGGCGTCGGGGAGGCCGCTGGCGAAGGATCGGTCAAAGAGATGAACGTTGTGCGGATTGTTCTCGAGATTTCGAATGCAGAACCACAGAAGGCCCATGGACTGTTCCTGTATTTTGACATCACTGAAAAAAATAGTAGCGTTGTTGTTGGGAATCAGCGTTTGATAAAAAGAGTAGTTCTGAAGAGCATTTTTGATCCTCTGAAGTGCGACTTACGGTAATTGGTATTGCATATTCTGCCCCACCCTCTTTAATTGTTGGCCGTGATTTCGAGCTGTTATTAGAAGTCCGAAATGGTGGGCAGTAGACTTTTAGTTATGCGACAAATTCATGTGTCTATCTCTCTTAAAACTCTCCTCACCTGTCGTTTTGAGAAAAAGCCGGCCAATTAAGTAAAAACTCGTCGCCTTTCTAGAAGATTGAAATATCCTTTTAGTGAGATCCTAAAAATGCTAATCCCAATTGGTCAAACCATGAGAAAGTGCAGATTGCTGAAAAAGGTTGTGATGTGATCCTCTTTGAAGACCACTTCTACGTGGCAGACTTGCATAAGTTCTGCTGATCGTGGTTACATTCCACGAGTGGCTGAGGGCCAGAAACACTCTTGAATTGGCAATGGTGAGTACGGACAATTAAGAAGGTAAAACTTCGAGTACTGCATTTTCCGAAAAGCAGTTAATAAAAGGCCTTAGTTTCTTGTTGTGTGGTGGCTACGCATTTATCCGTTTATTATAAGTTCAAGACACAAATTACATAAGCCTGGCATATGGTAAGCGGAAACAGGCAATATCAGGACAAATGCGAAACTGCCAAAAAGAACGATCAAATATTGTCCCTTTGAGGCAAACTAACAGTTTGCGTTTCGTGATTTGAAAAAAACTAGGACCTCATGAAATAGCATATTTGTTAATGATAATTGATTAGTGTTTAGGAAAGCTAACTATATTAAAACATTGCACTGCATTTTCCCAAGCATATATTGTATCGACTTTTGGGAAAAGACGAAATAGCAGGAACTCACTGACTTGCAAGACACCGATATACTTCGCTCAGAACTAAATAGGGAAGAAAATGGACGGTGCGATAGACCGGAAATTGAAGGATGGAGTAGTTCGGCGGAATACTCCGAAGGAAATCCACGTCGGATATGGTCTTCAACTGGGAAAATCGGTGGTTATCAACCGGCAATGAAAGGGTCACAAAGTCCCTGTTGGAGCTGACGATTTGCAAGAATTCGAGCTTTAGAAACACCAAACATCGAAGCTCATTGGCCGCTTTTGGCGATATCAAATCGGAGTCTTCTTGCTTGTCCACAGTCGAGAGATGATGTATCCTTTTGTCCATCTGAAAATCGGGTAGGAAAAAGCATAAATTAAGTAGCACACAATTGTTATTGATATGGAAATAGGTAAAATAAATACTGCGGATCAACTGTGACTTAAGCATTTTTAAGTTAGTTCGTAAGGCATCGGAAACTATAATGGAAATCATCAGATAGTTCAATCACTTGTTTTTTAAACGTAAAAGCCTTTCGATATGCTATGAATCAAGTCATATCTGTGAAAAGAAGCCGAAATTCTTAGCTACTTATTTTTTTGTTAGGAAAAAACCGGGAAAAGAAATACTCACTTCAAATCAAACAGTTATTGAAGCGGATAAATGGTTATAAGGTTTCTCAAAAGGCTGTGTGACTCACAATATCCAGATAGGTCGATATTTGCTGATAAAGGAAGACCGTGTTTATACAGCCGAAGGCATCGCACAGAAAGAATGCAAAACTCCTATTCAGGCTTATTTCATTCGCCAGGCTACTGCTAAGATGTCTGCGAATATCTGGTTGCGTAAGAGCGTCCGCCCAGACAACCGTTGCCCCACCAGAATCGGTTATCGTTTCTTCTAGTCGACTGCAGACATATTTCGCAATTTTTGCGGTCAGCACAAGCAGATCCTCACGAAATGCATGTCTTCCGATGATAAGTGCTCTGCTTTGAACTGTCTCCTGAATATAAGTCCTCATCTAAAAGCGAACATACAGTAATAGGTTTTTGCAAGGCGTTGATCTTTGGTTCTAAAATACGTTAAGATGTCACACAGCTACTCACTAGGCTTCGTTAGAGCATTATCCAGCATAAACTAATGCCCATTTTTAGGGAACCTTCGGATTTTTTGACTGCATTGCACAGCCAAGATTAAAATAAATAATCAGGTGGGCATCGGAAATAACCTACCTAAGAAACCAAGTCCAGTGCGACGTAGGTTAAGTGGCTCCCAAACAGCGTGTTTAAAATTTCTTCTACGACCCTTTGCTGACAGTTTTCTACATCTTTTTTTCAGTTTTTTCGACCGATTAATTTGGAACCACGTGGAGTTATTTAAAGGCCAACAGACCTTACACGATACCAACATTATGCTTGTTAGTCTTGCTGTTATTGTGGAATTTCTGCTGACATTCACCTATCTCCTCTTGTCTAGATCGTTCTGTTAGTTAAGTTACAGGTTATCAATGTGTTTAATTACCCATCTCGTATTCTGTCTTCCGTTGCAGCTTTTTCAGAGATATTTACTATTTGATACCATATTTTATCAACATTCATGTCCATCAAATATGTTCCGGTGGAAATCCTCAGAGTGATTCTAGAAGATTAACTAGGCCCGTAGTTCTGTTATCCTCAATTCTCTTATGTTTTCTCCAGCCTTTTTCGCTAATTAAGATGCCCACCCTCAGGCCCATTTACGTAATATTTGCTATTGTTCCCAATTTCTATCGGAGTTGAATTTTTACGGGATTTTCAGCTTCCGAACTTCCACTGCATTGCCTGGAGATCAGGGTTTCACAATCAACACGCAACTGGACTCAAACCAGCATTCTTTGTCTCCCAAGGCAAACAGTCTCTGAAACTGGTGGCAAAGGCCACAGACAAGGGATTATATATCAGGTTGCAATTCAAAAAAGAAGACAAAAAGTGCCAAGAGGCCGAGTTGCGCAAATATTCCCTTGGAGTAAGGGTTGATCACAACAAATGATTTTTCATCCATCCAAACTGGAGGTCCAGTGGAATATTCTGCATTTGGCAAAACCATAGGGATTTTGAAAAGTGAATTATTTTATTATTAATCCGTTTCTACAAACACCTGCATTCGCATATTCTGCTACTGCTACTGCGGTCCTAATGTATTCCTCATTACTGACTCGGTGCAGGCGTACAACAGTTTTGCAAATAATCACCGTCTCTACAGCCTCCCTTAGCTTTCGCCCACGCAATTTTCGCCGATTTTAAACTGTTCTGTGAATATTTTATACCTGAACCAACTTTGTCTGTAGGTTTGTGAGATCAGCCATTTAAACTGAACACCCGAGCTTCCGAAAGAGATAAGGCGTGCCAGAGGTTAAGGCAGCCCAACCACCGACACCGTTTGGTTACGTTCTTTGATAACGCAAATTTGGATTAGTAATTTTGCTGGAAGAGCAGCATTCCGCCGATAAGATTGGTAAGTCAACTTATCAGAGTCCAGAGTACTTTTTACTTCCGTATCTTGACTCCAAAGGACTCCGTGAACTGTCATTTGGAGCAGGTAGACAGCCGTTCCTTTATTGATATCTCACATTTTTATCCACAATGAGAAACGCTTGTTCAACTGTTTTTAGAACTACACTGGGAAAGTCTGCGTATGGACAAGAAACTGTTGACAGTCCTAGTGATCTATGTCCATCAACTACACAAGTGATCCGTTTGTCTTTTACTGAGAAAAATTCTAGGTTCTACTATCTCAAGTGAGACATTGCTCCTCTGTGTAAAGTTTCTGAGGAAATCTGTGATTAATTCGATATCAGTGACTGTCATTCTCGTAAGGACCAATGTCTGTGTTTCTGCCGAATACCGACGTGTGATGTGTGGGGTTCCACAAAAGTAATTGCAGATTTTGGCCTAAGTTGCAATTTTCGTTAGTTTTGGTTCCCCCTTCATTTTTTTCCGCCAACTTCCTAGAAGTGTTTTGTGCCACGATCAGTTGCGGCTATCGTCAAGTGGAATCCACTTGGAACTCTTACATATCAGAAGGTATTTTGAGTATTTACCCATGGTGTTTCTTCGTGCCCTATTCTCCTTTATCAGATCCAGTTTCCTCCGTTACGACCGTAAAAACGTTGCAGTGGGGTTTTGTATCTGTTGTACCAACTCTTTTTTTTCAATTTTAACTAATGCCAGCCGAGAAACAATGGCCTTCACATAGTGAATTTGAAATTTACAGACAAACCGCTTCAGAAAACATCGATCTTAGCAACCTCCTTTATATGTCAACTGTGGTCTAAGAAACCTTTCCCCCTGACAGTAGGAGTAGTATTAAAGAACATCCCTTGCAGGAAAGAGGGGCAAGAAAGATCAATCTTAGTTTGGTACCTGCGGGGAAGGATAAGAAACAGTTTTAAGCACGACGGAATCAGCTTGTCCTCTAATCTTTTTATACTGAAACTACACTCCTAATAAAAGATTAAATGGCTACTCTTTTAACGGATACGTATCCCGAATTGTTTCCGAAACACTCTGTATAAGTCACGGATTTAGCAGTTCTGAAGATGAAAACTAATTTTAAACCTATCATACATACTGATTAGTACTTTAATCAATTGAATTCTTATCTTCCTCAATTTACTTACCTTGGACGTGTTCCTAATCTTTAAAGTCGCAAATCACGACGAGAGCAAAGAAGAATAACCGTTTATAAGTAAAAATCCACTATTATTTCCTGTTGGGAAAGATGGTTCTTCTCGAGTTGTTTTTAATTAATACATTATTTGCACTGTTTGAAATAAAAAAGGTCTAGCCACAGTGTTGACTACACAGAAATCAGCTGGCTAGCCGCATTTGCATTCAAATTTCACCGAAATATCTCCGTTCTAGACTCGATTGGACATTTGAGGACCCAAATTAATCCAACTGGCCTGGCATTCTGCGTCATGAAGACTCAAATATTCGGCATTTAAATTTTGCTTCATTTTCTGAAAGAGACCCGCAATTCGAAATTACATTTCAAGTTATGCTTACGTGTGTTTGAAAATACTTCTTCACTCTGAGTGATGACTGCGAAGTAAACGAAGCAAGCGCACCCCTTGACTGCATTTATTGCTTTAAAATAGTCTTTCAAAGTTAAACCTACATAAGGAGCTGGAATATGCACTCCAACGACCATCTGAATGGTCAGAGTTTAGCTGTCTTGGTGAAAGTTTCCTCTACGTCTTTTGACTGGAAGCCGATACTACGTGCCAGTTCACCTTTCAAGTATAAAATGAAGATACCCGGCATACCACGATATCACTGCTAGCAAGGCATATACCTTACTCACCAAAAGTTCAAGGAAGAACCAGGCGCTCCAGGGAAATATGTGGCGGAGGAAGTCGGCTCGATCAGTCAACAGGCCGGTTATTAAATGCAGAAGTTCTACAGGCAGACACTAAAACGTCCAAAATGGGTTTTAAAGAAATGCCAAGATAAGTACCAAAATATAATTACAACGAAACCAAGATGTCGACAAATGAACATATTCTGAATTCGGGTTCTATATAATCAGTGCTTTTAGAAGATAGCTGCTGCCCACAAAGATAGTACTAGCTACTATTCAAGTGCAGAAGTGTGCATGAAGGAAATCGGAGGTAAAGTGAAATGTAATTCTTAGGAAAGTCAGGTTGATTAAAGTAAAAAAATTCTGCCTGTTTGGTAGGTAACTAGCAATGACAGATCGACGCTCACCGATCGGTTACGTGACTCACTCGCCCTGCTGTACATTTGTACTCATCCTCTAGCCTCATCAGCAGCCACACGATGGCCAGTAATAAATGCAGTTTTCAATATTAACGGAAAATTGCGGACGCGTTTCGCTGGTTTACAAAACGTCTTATTTTAGGGATATTTGTACAACTGATCAGCTCATTTTGCCATCTAATCGACAAATGTGTGGGAACGACAGTTAAGCGGCACCATGGGAAGCGGTCATCACACATGACCTGTGCCCTATGTTCGCGTTCATTTTTTAATGCCTGGATTGATAGTAGGATGTTAACATAAATGATGTGCATCATTAGAACATCATCTATTACTTGTTCCCAGTACATACACTCAAAAAAACTTCCTCCATGCCTATCCTTCGACAGTTTGACCGTCGATTTCGATAATGTCCATCACGAGCTTCAGCAAGACAAAGGCAAATGCGGTGACTTGCGCTGGATTATAGTAAAAGTAGACTGTCGTCGTATGTACCTCACTCGCTCCAAATTCCTCCACTTTTACTGGGTGTCAAGACAAAGTCAAGAATACCGAATATAGGGGAGGGTGAAGGTGGCTAGCGCGACCAAGGCCACCCCATTGCGTACAAACACACGGGGTTGGCCGCTCCTCCAATGCGCGCCACAACAACACCTTGTTAGGGTCTCACTTACATGGGAGTGTCATAACGGCTAAATTTGAAAGCAGCCACTGCAGCCTGACACGCAGTCCGCCAGTCAGCCACTGGACACAACAAGGCACACGCTGGACCGACAGTGCGGTCCGCGTTATCCCGTCAGTTGGCAACCCTCCAAGCCACGGATTTTAGCGCCCTGTGATAGCTTCAAGCGCGTGAAATGGTTTATACAGTTGGTGTTCTAACTCATGAAATCCATGGATTTTTCCAAGAAACTCCCCGTTATGCAAATGCAGCTCACATGACGTCCCCCAATGTCTGACAGTAGTAAAGAAACGATGGCCCTCAAAACGAAGGCATACTGTGGTTTATCTAATAATATTATGTTGTAAAGCAATACCAGATTTTGCAAGAGCGGAAAATTCCGAAAAAATGGAAATCGGGCATACTAGATAAACTTAAGTTTTAAATGTAAAGGAAGCTGGTTTATGCAAAAAGTCGAATAAATAAAGCACCACAAGTAAAATATCTTTGGAAAATAATCGTTTTGTAAAAATTTGGATACCTCTACTTCCATCTTACGTGCATCGAAACGGGTGACTGTTACCAAACATCCCACAGTTAAAGTATGTATTCGAATACGGCTTCACGAGAACCGCTAGTTGTTTCTTCCGTTTCTAAATTGTTGGAGTTACGGTGGACGAAGGCAACCAGCTTTTCACTTGATTGCACAGATAAGAAGGTCACATGAATAAGATATTTTGTAAGCGCACGTGCTGATATACCGATCATTGACTAGTAAATTTAAATGGAATTTTCAGGTGCGATTGTAAAAAACGTTCTATAGCAACTCATACATATTGCGGCCTCGAAAATCGGTGCAGTTTGCCTTTTTTGAAGGGTAAATGAAGCTGCAAATGGAAAATTTTGACAATTTTTAATTCTCTAAAATTTGGGTTACATCTTCTGCTGAAAATGAAAGAACTCACTTTTCTATGCATACCGGAGCAGTCTTCAGTATATTGTTTTTACTGCTAGGCTAAGTTCTAAGATAAGAAAAGCAGTGCAGAGTGGCAGAATATCAATTATGATTTTGAGAAAACTAATAACCTTCTGTCCATTCCGTTCAACTTTCTATTTAAATTGATTCTACGATATGGATAGAAGATATTTGAACAACTTTTGCTTGCGTGTTGACAAGGAAAATTGAAGCCATTTCTCAGGTGTTCGTATATATACTTGTTTACCGTCGTTATTTTCGGTGGGGTAAAACAAATTCCAGCCTTAAAAGTGTATTACCTAATTTTATGGCACAAAACGTGGTAGAATTTTTTGAACATTATTCGCTCTTCGTTTCCCGGCAGTGGCGCGCTATCTGATAATTTCACATTCCTCAATTTCATTAGGACAAAACAAAATCGTCTGTCCTCTTAACACATAATTACAGAGTTCTTGGTCTTTTGTTAATGTTCCTTTATAGTACAACACGCACAAACAAGATGTTTTTTCGTGGCGTTTAATCGCATAAGAAATCCCTTGGATATCAAAAAACCTTTAAATTGGCTAAATTCCACCTTTATTTACCCCAGCATAGTCTTCTGACGTTTTTTTCTAGTAAACAGCATTTGTTGCCTCTAGTAAACTCAAAAAATACACAACATAAAATATACAACCTCAAGCTTCGCAGTTTTCCAAAATTCATGAGTAAAAACGAACTGCTTAGTGGGTTGGCCTTATTGCTTCTTACATGTGGCATAAGTGAGTCTTCTGCAGAACTTTTTTAGCATAGTCATTTAAAATGAAGTCTGGGTGCCTTTTACTAATGTGGCCCAACAACAGAACCAAATATTAGCGTCCTGTTTGCCTCACACATGTTAGATGGCGAAGAACAATCACGAATGCAGAAGTTTTAGCGACAAAACAGGAGAAACTGTGATGTGCATTCGCTACCGCTGCTGGTAGGTCCTTAGCCCGCACCTCACGTAAAAGAACGTTAAACCCAATGAGAAAACACGTGGGTTCAAACATAGGGTTTCGAGTTCTGAGGACTAGTTATGGGGGATCGATTGTGGCAACTAGGGTCGAAATTTACCTGGCAGCTTCATTTCAATTTGTCCGCAATATCTTTTCATTTCTAACGCGATGCAAGGTTTACCAGACGTAAAAGAACTAAGTTCAAATAATATTAAAATAATGTATGATTGACCTTGTTTGACTGGGATTGGGAGCGTTGAAGAAACTTCGTGACGTCCTCTTTCCAAACCAGGCCAAATAGAGGAACTCCAGCAAGCAAGTATGCTAGGGCTGAAACGTACAAACAATAAGAGAAATAACTTATAAAAGAATTCAAGCACAGACCAATGTGCTCAACGGATGTTGGATTACAGCATATCTTAAAAGTTTTTTTTAGTTATTCATAGGTAAAATCTTTCCTTTGTGGACTTCACTTCCTATTCGTATTTCCAATTTGCTAGAAATTTCTTAATGAAATGTCATGAGAATGCAACGCGGATCGCGAAATCTAAAGACATGCAAAACAAAGGGCCTCTAATTATGACTTTTCAATCCACTTTTTCTAAACTGTTTACCCTTTTCTTCGGCAAGTTTCGCTCATCTTCGTTTTAAGTTTTTGGGCAGAATCTTTAGTAAACCCTCTTCAGGCCTCTTCAGGCAGGGGCTATTTCAGGATGGGCTTTTAAAGAATCGCATACTGTTTTGAGCATAGGTAAACAGCTCTTCAAATCTGCAAACTTTGCTGCATACTCTATCGGTTTCCAAATATAACGCCACCGTTCCATTCGAATTGGAAATAACCTACTAGTGTACACACTTCCTGTTTAATTCCACAAAATTTTGAAATTGAACTGTGAACCTCCTGCACTGCATTAGAAGTTCGCATGGTGATTATATATCTAATGTCTTAAAGTGAAGTCTGGAAAAACCACTGGCGGACATAACCGGCAATAGTCATTGGTCCGGCAAAACAGCCATCCTTCCTTAGTGTTCAATCTTATCGACAAAAAAGCTATGGTTTCTCGCTCATGTCATGACTGCAATTGCTTATTTTTCCTTGTCTAGTAGATGCAGTTTTTCCCCGTCTCTATGTAACTGTCCTGACCGTTTATAGCCGCAGACCATTTACAGTTATTAACCGAAATTGTGCATGAGATTTTTTGAATGTGCAATATTATCAAATGAGGTTTCGACACTAACTAATATTCAATGAAAGTACGAGTTAATTCACATGCTATCAGAGGATGGGCTTCTGAGTGCACATTTCCTCAAAATCAACAGAAGACATAATCCTTTCGACTTCAAACATAACGTGACCTCCATGGGGGATAGCATCGTGTGAAATCTACGCGTTTTGTATGACTTGAAAAGGCTAAACAAACCGTTTGAAATAGAGTACTTTATTGCCCTTATTCCAGTGCTCTTAATCACAAGCACAATCGATGAAAAACAATAAGGCAAACTTAGTAAAACTTAGTAAAACTGGGTTGAATATCCTTGTTGCAGCTGCTTTACGTGATATGCTCAGCTACATGTTAACTAATAAGTACATAGTTTAGTTTCGATTTAACCGGGGCGGTGCAGGAGAACAGTAAACGGGAGTCTATTTTTTAAACACATAGATCGAAATCTATATGGATAAGAAAGAAAGACTGTCGAGCACCGATTCAATTTGTTTATTTTTCTGAGCTTTCGAACTTTTACAGGAGTCCATCGTCAGAGATAAGAAACGGCAAGTAAAGAGGGGCCAGTTATAGCGTGTGCACGTCAATCAACTGTCAAGGGTCATAAGGTCATGAGGGGTAATAAACCGCGATGAGAAAGGCGGGAAAGGGTGAGGACAAAAATAGAACTATATGTTGATTAACCGTCAGTGATGTCAACGTTCATCAAGGCGTCAGCAACTAAAATGGTGCAATTATAGAGGATGTGTGTAATTACACAGACCAAAGTGAACGCATGCTCGGGTCGCACATACATGAACACAAGTTGGCCGTACGATGAGGCGACGAATTTTCGCAAATTGTAGCTCACAACAATGAAATAGGCCATGCATTCAACTTCGCGGCCGTCAAGGTACTTGCCCATGCCGGAAACAAGACGAGCAGAGAATTGATTGAAGTCTGTTACACAGACGAGAATTCAATCAGCCGATGTGTCGAATTGACGCCGGCGTACA